TTCCCTCTGCTCAGGACCAGTCAGGAGACTTCAGCTGAAGCCTGGACCTTCAAGTCATTCAATACAGCCAGTCTGAACTTCATTCCTTGCCAGCAGCAGCCAAACAAAGTGAAAGGAGTAATTGATTTCTGACCTTAAAGACTGAACCAAGTGACACCAAGAATACTGATCCTAAGCAGCTCTAACATGTGTACTCCAAGAAGAAAAATAATCAGAGAACAAACAATTAGATTGCCTTCAATAACCAATGTCACTTCTTCCCCTCAAAGTATTACCTGTGAAAAGTCCTGGGGATTGTTATTTAAGTTCCTAGTTCCTTGCCCAAATTCTGTCCTTTGAGGTTTTCACTCTGATGGCACTGAACATCACACATATAACAGGAAAATAAGTCTACACCAGCAAAGTAGGTGGAAGCAAAAGAAAAAAAAAATTTAAATTCTGAGCCCTAAACCAAGCAACAGCCTCTTATAGAAAGGCCTCTTGCATCCAGACACATGCATTTGATAGATTTAGAGACTTCTGGCCATGGGAACTTTGACACATCCATAAAATCCCAAGCCATCTCCTACTATAAGTAAGAGAATGTCAGGCTGAGAGTTCGGATATTTTTGTGCTGAAAATATTTTTACTTATCTGCACAGTCTTAAGGGCTGAAGGAAAATAAACATGACTGTACATCTGGGTGATCTTCATGCACAGAGTGGCAGAGCTGATGTATAGTCTTCAGCTTCCTGTAGCAACTCACTCTCACATCAAAGCACAGGGAATAAACACAATTTTCTACATGAATATACAGAGTAACCCACACAGGGACTGTGCACATCATTAACGTGTAAATGAATAAATGTGAAGTAAACCTTTCATCACCATAATGCTATTTTGATGTATTTTTAGGAGAATTTGAAGTTCCCTTTCCTTTATTGCTATCCAAATGTACTGATACAATGATACAGTGCTACACTTTCATCTGAATAATCTTACTTGTCTATATATGACTAGTTTTCTCTTCAGAACATTAAATTTGATTCCTCATAGTTTGAGCACTGTTATCAATATGAGATAACTAACATTGTTACTACCATAAGTTTACCATAAGACTATCAAAAGATTATCCAGCCATTAAAATAAAATTATATTGTTATTCCAGACTGGCAAAATTTGTGTGCCAGTGCAAAGGAAGAGTTTGCTTGAGTTTGGATCTCAAGCCACGATCAGCACTGGCTGTTTCATAAGCCCGCACAGCAGACTGCACATGGTGGAGCCCAAAGGCATGGGCAGTTCATTAACTGGTCTCAGGACACACAGCCCAACATGGCCAAAACAAGCCTGGGAGACTGGTTTTACCATTAGCCAGGGGCTCTTCCTATGTTTAATGCTGATGTTTGAATTTTAATTTCAAAGGAGGTATTCACTCCTGCTCTGAATTTTCCAGAGGGAATGGAAATGTAGTGCCACAGCTCTGTGTCAATGAAACATTCCATTGGAGAATTAATACAGGAGTAGCACAATTTATTCTTTTCCCTAGTCTACAAAAGAGAAATAAAGAGAGAAGTAATAAAATTATACTAAAGAAAATTTCTACACAGTTAACAAGCAAATTTATTTAGATAACAGGCCAATTTTTATAGTGTTTTGGGTATTTTCAGAAAAAAAATTCTTTCTGTCTCCAACTGACATTTTTATTTATTTTACATGAAGAAAAATTCTTTCTTGTCTTTTGGTACAAGAAAGTTCAGCTTACTCCCTGGATTCTTGTTGTCTACTTGAAATGAAAAGGAATTTGCTTTATATATTTGACCTTTGATAAATTACTATACAGTAAATCCTTTCCATTTTCCTCTCCCTGCTGATCTGTATTTGGTCCAGTGTAAATATAGCACATTTCAACAGCTCTGAGAAACTTCAACAAGGGACCATGGAAAATTAGTTTGTTCCTACCATTACTATGCCCTTGTTTAAAAGCCCTGTGTGATCCATCAGAAAAAAATACATCAAATAAAGAACCTCAATGTTTAAATGATTCACAGCCATTCTACCAAAAAGCAGTGAATCCAAGATGTTTCAATGTCTCTTAACAACTTAACATCTAATTTAAATGCCTACTTCTTAAATGTCCTAGTTTTAACACATTTCAGCTACTCAACAGAAATATCCTGAATCATTAAATGAAGTGGAACTTCTCAATCCTAATTCCTTACTCACATTTTCCAACTCATCCCCTTCATACCAAATATATAGTGGAAACCTATAGGAGAGGTTTTGGGTCAATCCCCAAAGATCTACAATGCTGAAATAAAAACTGTACAAGAATTCTTGGTACCTATTTAAACCCAGAGGCTAGAATCTCTGTTTTGTGGGGAGCACTGAATGAAATCTGAGTCCCACTGATTTCCAGTCATGGCAGACTCCCATTAGAGAGACTTTCCCATTAGTGAGAACTCACCAGACACACCTGAGTTACACCATCGTGTTGGCCATGGCACAAAAGAGAATGGACAGACCGTCTAGCTCTCCGAAAGTGTTTCTTACACATTCTAACCAATTATGAATGTCAACATAACTCATATTAACATAGTAACTCCCATGTTCCAATGCAAACAAACATTAACTCTCCCTAACTTGAATATCCCTGAACTTAGGGTGTTGTTTTCCATGGTCTCAAGTTGATCCTGGCTATGGCTGGCCCACTGGCCAGACCAGGGCACCACAGTCTAGTGGCCTGCTAGAAGTGTTATTAAAAGTCTAAGGGAATCCTTTATTCATCAACTTACAGTCTTAAACAGATTTCTGCGAATAATCTGATATATTAATAAATAATTTTTAAAGAGGCTATAATTCATCAAAATTAAGAGGGCTAAAGTCACAGACTATTAGCACTGATATAAGGTCTGGTAGCACTTGAGGACACTAAACAAGTAAATTAGTCACTTTAAAAAAAGAAGAAATCACTGTCAGAGAACCATAGAATTGTTTAGGTTGGAATAGACCTCTAAGATTGTTGAGTCCAGCTGTTATATCAGCACTGCCAAACCGGTCAATAAACCATGTCCCCAAGTACTGCATCTACACATCTTTTAAATCCCTCCAGGGCCGGTGACTCCATCACTGCCCTGCAAAGCCTGCTCAATGCTTGACAACCCTTGCAGTGAAGAAATTTGTTGTAATATCCAATCTGAACCTCCCCTGACACATTTCTTCGCTATCTGGGGGAAGCCACCCATTGTAGCCACCTGGCTACAATCTCCTGTCAGGCAGCTGTAGAGAGCAATGAGGTCTCTCTTGAGTCTCCTTTTCTCCAGACTAAAAAACCCCAGCTGCTCCTCACCAGCCTTGTGCTCCAGACCCTTCCACAGCTCTGTTCCCTTCTCTGGACATACTCCAGCCCCTCAATGTCCTTCCCATCATGAGGGACCCAGAGCTGGACACGAGATTCGAGATGTGGCCTCAGCAGTGCTCAGCACAGGGGGATGGTCACTGCCCTGGTCCTGCTGCCACACCATGGTTGGAACAGGCCAGGTGCCATTGGCCTCTTAGCCACCTGGGCACACCTGGCTCATCTTCAGCCACTGCCTGCCAGCACCCCCAGGTCCTTTCCAGCCCCTCTGCCCCAGCCTGGAGCACTGCAGGGGCTGTTGTGACCCAAGGACAGGACCTAGCACTTGCCCTTGTCAAACCTCATCCGCCTCAGGCCACTGATCCAGCCTGTCCAGGTCCCCTTGAAGAACCTTCCTGCCCTCCAGCACATCAACAGGCACACACAACTTGGTGTTATCTGCAAACTGACTGAGAGTGGCCTCAATCCCCACATCCAGATCACCAGTCAAGATATTAAACAGAACTGGCCCCAGTACTGAGTCCTGGAGAAGATCTCATGACCAACTGCCAACTGGGTTTAATTCCATTCACCATCACTCTCTGGGATTGGCCTTCCAGACAGTTTTTCACCCAGCAGCAACTGTTAAACAGATGACGTGGCAAAAGAATTCATGTTGATAACACTTCCATTTTCCATTATTTTGATGTCCAGATCAAATCAAACCCATAAGTGGGAGTACTGACATGATTAAAACAGCCATGAAAAGATTAAGGGCTGCTTAATTGTCTTACAATTCAACACAAGATTTAAGGGGAAAGTGTTACATATGAAAGATGGAAATTAGAAGATAGAAGTAAGGGTTAAACTGAGGTTTTAATCTATGTATCAGGCCCTGAAGACAAGGACTTGGTACAAACATGAATGAGACACAGAAGCTTTCTGAGAAGACAAGATCCATAAGGACACTCCATAACCACCATCCTATTAACATTTATCTTTTTCATCTGGTTCTATATCTGCAATATTAAAGAGACAATTTTTTATCTATCTTTCCAATGCATTATTACCAAACTACCAAATGCAAATGCAAACCAGCACACAACCATCAGGCAGGAGATGGCAAGAAACACCTCCAAAATACAAGCAACAGGCAAAATAAAAGCAGAGATTTTAGCACTTTTAATTTATAGACTAGTAGGGAATGATCTCATACGTGTCTGATGGTAGATGAAATAGCTGCTCCAGTTCATTGGTGTAAGTGTCAGCACTGAACCCAAGCAAAGCAGAAAATGACACCTTTCAGCCAAACATAATGGGTTGAAAAAAGAATTGCAATCAGGTGTACAATGGAAATGTTGAGGTTCTTAGAAAAAATTACTTATTGTGACAACAAAATAAGTGCTATATGAATGAATAAGTCACCAAAGTTGTCACTGCTTAGAAGTTAATTTAAAAATACAGAGCTTTGCAGTTGTTTGGAAGTATGTAATGGAATTTTTTTAATACACGTGACAGCCAGTATTTTGTGTACACTCAGAGAAATTTCACATTTGTTTCTGACTCATTATCCTAAATAAATCAAAAATAGCATGCTGTTTATTTATATAATAAGAAAGAGTGTGCATATAAAATAAAAGACCAGATTGCAATTCAACAAATCGGCCACTGTTTTCTCTCTCCCAATTTGAGTAAAAGTTTTCTTCTGAATTATGTCAAATCACAATGAAGCAGTAAAATCACGGACAAAGGACTCTCTACCTGTTTAAAGTTAGGGAGGGTATGCTTTTATTACAGCCAGGCAGCACACAAAGTCACGTCTCAAAGACGTGCGCACCCCACCACTGCCCATCATTCTCTATTTATTCCTTAAAGTATTACATATGCATAGAATATGCATATCAGCATACCTAATATGCACACAGCACACCTAATACATATTCATTGCCTGACTCCACCCACTTGCATCATATGGTAATGAGCTCCACACCCCTCTGGGCATGCTCAGTTCTTCTTTTGAAATGGGTCTGGGATCCTTCTTAATGAAATCTGCCTCTTCCTGAGGCTTGAACTTTTCAACTGTGTTCTGTTGGCAGTTCTCCTAGTCCTCTTGGACATAGTTCAGATTCCTTGCCTGGAGGTGTAGACACAATTCTTTCCACAACAGTCCATCTTTCTTGTCTCCTACACACACAACTTAAGACAAATAAAAGATACATGATCCTATTCTTAACTAAGTATTAAGACAAGTGGAATGATATATATATCCTTGGGCTATTCATTTCATCTTGGCAATTGTTGACTACAAGCAGGAGCTATATAGACTTGCTTCTGACCACACTTAGTAATCATTAATAATCTACATTGCTCCTTAAATTCTTTGTATTTCCTTTACCTTAAATTTTTTCATAAACTGTTCTTATTCCAGTCAAAATCATAATTTCCTAATTTTCTTAACTTATTAACATGATGATGTTAAATCATTAACATACCTGAAAATTAAATGCTTTTTCTCCTCTGAAGAAGATCTTGGCACAGAGAAGTTTCTTCAAATAAGGAGGGACACGACAAGCAATAAAGCTAGAACACATGAAATTAGTCATGTAAAACCCCTCATCCTTATCACAGAACCAACTAGAACATAATATCTTTACCAATGATGTGCCAACAACTTAACCCCAGGTTGCCCAATTCAAACACTTGGAAGTCTGTGTCATGCTTTAAGATGACTTTCCTTGAGTTCTTATACTTTCCAACTCAGTTTTTGAACCTTGAAAGTTTGTATCTCCCAGCCTTTCTGAAATATAATTTCATTTTTTCTTTCAGAAATTGATAGCTTTTCATAAACATTTGAGTTCAGACACTGAATCTTGGGAAGCAAACATATATACTTCTTCCAAGTGTTGACAGTATTCATTTAATTTCTTGCAACCAGGGTGAAGAGAATAGTAGTCCACTGTCCTTTAACCTTCCAGGGCTCAAAAACTCCCAGAAATGCTGCCCTTTAAACAGCATTCATCTGTGCTTTGCTGGAGGCCAAGGAAAGCTGCCTCTGAGTTCCCTGCAGCTCCCATCCCCTGCCCACCATGGTCCCCAGCTCTTGTTATCATTATCCTCTTGGCTCCAAGGGACCACACTGCATTGTTCTGCTCTTCTCTCTCCCTCCTGTCCTGTCACTTCCTCTAGGCACCTTGATCCAGAAAGTATTTGTCTGGTCCTTTGCTCCATCTGCTGCTCAAACATTAAATGTGAAAGAAGGCAGAGCCTCTAGACTATTGCAGAAATGCTGTTTAGGGTGTGATGTTACTGCAAGTCACTTGCAGTATCAATTTGAAATAAAAGCAAGATGCTTTGCAGGGGGTTGCAGGTACTGGAGGTTTAGCTTCACTTATATTTTGACAAAGAAAATAAAATTTAAAAAAATAAATAAAAAAATAAAATAAAATTTCCTTTACCACCTCACAGTTTTCCAGAAGTTCTTTAATTCTGTACTAGACTACATGTTATAGATTCATATTTATGGAGATACTTTTTCCTCTAATTAGGACATATTTATTCTCTTCATTGATTCAAGAAATGAAATGGGAGGAAAACAGTACAGAAAAGATTTGCCAAAAGGAAAAAAAAATTGCCTTTTCAGAATACAACCACAGCACCCACTGATTACTGGACTTTTGGTTCAAGGTTGTTTGTGCAAGACAATTTTATTTTTCCTAAGAAAATCTTAGGCATATTGCTTTGGTATTTAGAGAAAGAGGGAGCTCTGTGCATTTTTCACTTTTTTTTTTAACACGGTCCTGTAACACAGATGAATTTTAACACTTTTGGGCACATTAATTTTGCTGGGTTTGGACACTTCTTCTGTACAAAAGGCAGTAAAAATTTAGTCACAGCCTCATTCATCACTGGCCTGATCCAACTTACACTGAAACGTCTGGACACATCTCCACAAAACTCCACATGTGCACCCAACAATTCTCCTCTGACCAGGCTAAAAATAACACAGGTCTTGTATGAAGCTAGATATAAATGGATAGTAGAGAATAAATCACTGTAATAAAATAATATCAAGAGAAGAAAATGGGGATTCAAGTCAAGCTCTAGATTTATAAACTATAAAGGTAAAAGATCTAGCAGCTGCAAAGAAACAAATGGGTATGATTGACTGTTTTGTTCTGTTTGCAGATAAGCTTTGCAATTGCAGCCCCAGTTTATAATCATGCAGGAATCCTGTAAGCACAAAAAGAACAATAAAACAGCAAATCTCCAAAGTTACAATGTACAATGGAAGACAGAAGTTGATGCAGCATAACTTTCCTTCCTCCTTCCTTTGACAGTACTGTCAAAGTGGCATAATTACTTAGAAAATTAAGAATATGTCACTAAAATTATGTCAGAATAAAAAAGAAGGGTTAAACAGTATGTTTGCTACCCGTCTCACTACTAATTGCTGATTTTGATAGCTTTGCACTCCTTAGCCAGCAACACACAGGAAGGGGAGGGGGAAAAATGTTTTATTCAGTGCTCAATAAATGCACTGCAGCTTTGTACTAACATGGCACTCAGGACAAAGGCTCTTCACTGTGCCATCAAGTAGCTGAACTTCTAGTCCTGACTTGTCTTAAAAAAAAAAAAGCAAGATGCCCCTTCTCCCAGTCAAATGATACATTAGCTGCTGTCACTGCTGTCAAGTCTGAGTTATAATGATAGCATTACTGCTCGTACAGCCTGCAGGCAAACCAAACAGCATCAGAGAGGGAGGCTGCCAGGAAGGTGCACTCACCACCTCATCTGCCTAGTGAGATGAATAATGTTTTTTGCAAGAGATATTTCCCAAAGAGAAGCGATCCTTGCAAACTGCCCTGAGAAACACCCGTGCCTTTCTGACCAGCCTCCTTTTCATTCTGCAGATACAATAAATCAACCTTCACATCCAACAGTATTTTTCCTTATCAAGCTGAGGCTCTTTCTGTCATACTCAGCATCTAGCAGACCATCTGTGTTTGGACACAGGTTTTGTGCAAGGTTTCTGACTTCCCCACACTGCAATCCAGCTCTGATCATATGGCTGAAATGTGTGAGCTGCAATGTAGAAATTAGCACATGGCAGTGACCTTTCAACACACATAAAAGCAGCATTATGGCTGATACGATTATTGTCCTGCCATACATCTATCCTTGTGAATAGTTTCATTTAACGAAAAAACATTTTGAATTTTCCCCTGCTTCTCAACACTTGAAATTTTCCCCAGAATTTCCAGTTTTGCCAGATTCTAACAGAATTCCCGTTAATAGGCTTCAATTCCTCTCCCCACTGACAGGCAATGCACTCACATTGTTTGTTTGCTGACAAACTGGAGCTTACCCTGGGGTTTCTGTGCCCCCAGCACAAGCCAGTGGGTATGGAACAGGCAGGGACCAACCTCACATCTCAACATCACACTGAGATGCTGCTGCTGCAGCAACAGCTCCTCAGAGCATATGTCCCACCAAAGCTCCTTAGGGAGAAATAAGCAAGGAGTGCTGGGGAAGGATCTTGTCATCATTAATAACATTAGACCCTTTTCTGCCTTGTTTTCTTATGTTAAAATTTTCAGAAGAACATGGAAGAGCCACACTTGACAGGTCCTTGAGTACCTTTGACACACTGATCAAACTTGGCACCTACTACTTTATGTCTAGAGTAAATTATCTTTGGAGCTCATGTACACATCATGTATTAGCATATATAGCTTTCCTTATATCTATTTGAGATGTATTATTCTATTTAACTGCATATGGATACACAGCTATCTATTCCTTGGTCTATTCTGATATCCAGAGGTATTCTCAGGCAAATTCCCACTACGGCTGGCCTCAAGGATCATGACCTGTACAGATAACAGCAGTTATTCTGAACTGAACAGCTCATCAGTCTATCAAAGAAGTAGGTGAGTCCTGCTAGCCAGCTACACAGACTGACTATTTTCCCTTTTCCCTTCTGACAGATAAATTTAACATGGAAATTTTCCTTTCAATTCATTAACAGTTTATCCACATACTACAGCAAGCTGTTATATTTGGATACCTTTCTCTCATAAGCCTCGGGCTGACTCCTCTCTCTTAAAAATAGTTTCCCAGTGGATACCAGCATGGTTATGGTGGTGTACAATCTCCTCCCAAACACAGCTCCTCGTGTTTATCCCCAGTTCACATCTCCAGTGCAGCATGAGAAGTACCAGGTTCCTGAAAGACCATGGAAGATTCCTACCTTTGAGCTTTTTACTCCAGATTCCCCATGAGCCACATTAACTTCCTGGCAGTTTGAAATTACACCTGTCTGGCCTCACAATCTCATTGAATGCAGCAGTGTGGTGACTGAAGCATGCACAGCCCTAGCTGCAAACACCTGGCTGGGAACCTGTCTGCACCAGCCTGCAGCAGGTCTCTGATGGAGCACATGAAAGGATTTATTCAACAAAAACACTGACAGCAAATCCTGCCCTATGTGTGTTAGCAATTCTAGCAGGTGCCACAGGTAGCACCAGGTATAAACTTCTTTCCCTCTCTAGGATGCCTCTGTTCACCCTGAAAAGCTGCTGTGCATCCCACTGCACACCATAAACAGATTTTCTATCTATTGTGCAGAACATAAATGAGAAGCTTTGTTGTCAATCTCCCATTATTTTTGTTACAGATGTAAGGAAAGGTGGTCTGGTTTATTTAATGAGCACATCCAGCAGTGTCAAAAGGCACCAGCCCTGCACCCTCTCTCTCCACAACAGCAAGGCAGGTGCAGCACTGGAGAAGGTGCCTGCTCCCACAGACACTGGAAGAGCTCTAACTACTGATTTTCTGGTGCATTCAGTGGCCTGACCTAGACAGAGTTTCACTAAGTTACTCCGAGATGTGCCTTTCCTGAGCTTTGTCACTAGAGCTATCAAAACCTGCTGCACAGTATTTTCCCTTGATACAATTATTTGCCCACAGGGAATTTGTCTGAAATTTTCTCCCAGACCCAAAACAGCATCTAGCACAGTAGCTAGATTTAGTCCAAAATCCAAGAACTTCCTATGGCATAACTTGGAGGCTGGCAACCCTTGCTGTCTCCCATACCCTCCTCCTCCAGCTGTCTCACCCTTGCTTGTTCTTTAACTACCAAAAATCCCTGATTTCTGATACTAGCTATCTGAAGTCTCACATATAGAGGAATCATCTCCCCATCTTGCTTGTATTATGAAACAAATTAGAGATGTTGAAGTGAAGTGTGTTAATCCTGTAATTACCATGGTTATAATGAGGCAGTTTAATGATCTTGCTAATTGTCTGTTCAGCAAGACTGGATTGGAAAACATTCCTTACCCCATCTACCCTTTTAATTCTGCTTAGATCAGATGTTTCCTGTAAGTGAAGTGTTGTAGCTATGTGTATTACTACCCCATCACCAAATAAATGTTTAAAAATTGCTGCAGGTCTAACCAAAGGCCAAGTATTATATTGTAAGCAACATCTATGTGGCCACAGTCAGTAGCTATTCAGCTATATATTAATTCAGACAAGATTGCCAGGGAAAGCAGAGAGAAACAAAACCTCTTGTGAGGACAAAAATTTTGCTTATGGATTGCTGGTTAAAGGTCTTAAAATTATCAGCTGAAATAAGCTGCCTGGAAGTTGTTTCTGCCTAATCAACTGCTTTCCTGTTTATTCTGCTGAAACAACCTACTCTCAGCCTGTGGCTGAATACAGGTGCTGTCCCAGAAACCACCTGTAATGCCCCAGGAAACTTCATTCTCCAACTCTTGCACACCTTGGGAGCAACTCAGGACTCCCTACATGGGTCATCAGAGATTCATTAAAAACAATCTTTATAAAAGAAAACGATCAAGAAGGAGTACACAAGTAAGTATGTTTACTACTGCAAAAAAAGCAAGTGTTCACTACTGCAAAAAAACACATGCATCCAGCACATCAGCTTCTCTGCAGGAGCTGTCATGCATATGCCAATCCTGCATATCCTGGAGTGTCACACGATATTAGGAATGGCGAGAAGTACGACATTGGCTCTCTTAGCTGTGTTGTCCAAGAGAGCAAAGTTTATTGCTCTTGATCTTCTTTTATAGACAGGTTTGAGAAAGTCTGAGAGGTAAAACTCTCATTGGTCATTAAAGTAACAGATCACCACCATTGGTTAAGTGGAACACCACCCCTTGACTGTTTTCCTAAACACCACCTGCAAAGATTGTTGTCCTTTACCAAGGACTGTTTGGATTCTTTCTTACACTTTCTCAGGCCAGAGTGAGAAGCCTGTGTGACTTAATTTCACACAGGCTCTGTTCCCTGCTTGCTTTTTGCATTTAGCATCCACACTGCAGTAAACTGCAAGTAATTCCAAGCAATGAAGCAGTAATTTACCCCATGTTTACTGTAAGCAGCTTATGTAGCCATGCTTTCCCTGCCATGGCTGGTTCAAAACCCTACATCTTATCCTCCCAGCTCTCTCAGCTGTAAAAAGGTGAACTAAGTGTTCCTGTAATAGGTAAAATTTACCAAGCATCTCAATGTATAATTCCCATTTTGAGGCTGACACCTGTATTTCCCTAGCAAATGATTGCAGAATTGAAAAAGAATGAAGAGCCTGTCCATTTAGCCAAACATACACCTCTGAGCTACAGAGGTAGCTGGAGAACTTCTGCCAAGCACCAACCAACCAGGATCTCTCAGAGAGATCCCTACCTCACCTGCTGCTACAAAACAAATGTGATTTGTCATCAAGCCTGGTAAATAACAGTGCTGTGAGCAGCCACCCAAAACCCAGAGGTCAGATTTAAACTGGTATTAAACCAGCAAAACTCCACCAGTCAGAAAATACAGTGATTTACAAGCAGTTGGGGACCTAACCTCTGCACCCAGCAAGCTTTGCACCACACTGCAAAGGCAAGCATCCCAGCACACATAGGCCAAGCTGCCCAGCACAGCAGAGAACAGAGAAAAAACAGGAGTTACCTCTTACTGTAGCCAGATCTTAATGCTCAGTAACCACCAGATATTGTTTCTAGTACATTTGACACGCTGGAGAAATAACAAATTTTAATTAATAATTGCAATTAAAAGCAGTGGTGCTGGGGAAGATGAAACAGGGAAACCTTATGAATATGACTGTTTACCAAAAGATTCTGAAAATATGAAACCTAGAATCAAGACAGAAATTAAAACTAGCTTTGAGCTACAGGAAACTGAGTGCTAGTTATTATATAACCACAGAACAATAGCCTAGCCAGCTGAAGGAGAATCCCTGGTGATTGAACAATACCCTTCTGCTGATAGAGAATCCAAAGGTCAATCAGCAAGAGAAGAATTTGAAAGGTAGCTTTTAGAGTTTAAAATGTAACACTGTATGGTAATGTAGTAGTTTTTATAGGCTATATGTAAATACTATAGAATATGTGTCTGTTGGGAGTTGGGTGTCTTTTTATTTTTCTTCTAGTTTGCCTGTGGAATTTTTACCCATTAATTTCGGCGACAACCTAACCGTGGGTGCTTGGTGGATGCTTGAAAGAAAACAAAGAGTTTGGCCGGGCCCAGGGTGGGGGAAAGGGGGCAGGAAAAAAGGAGGGTGGGGACAGTTTGGCGGTTTTTTCTTCAGCTTCGGAGAAGGACACTTTGGGGCCAGAGCTGTTGCAGTGGGGAGAAGGGAATCTCGCCATCACCCAGACGGAGCTGCTGCTGCTTCTCCTTCTCCCCTCTTTGTTGGTGGCCTCGCACCCCCTGTCCTGCTGGGACGTGTGGCAGTGCCAGGCACCGCCACGGAGCTGCTGATCCACCTCAGCCACCGGCCCAGGATCTCAGCTCATCCCTGCTGATCCACCTCAGCCACCGGCCCAGGATCTCAGCTCATCCCTGCTGTTCCAGCTGAGTGTTCCTCAGAGCCCTGCAGGAGCACCGGCACTGACTGCCCGAGGGGTTTGTGAAGCAAAGCCTCTCCTCCATCCCTTCCCATCTCAGCCGAGAAAGCTGTCATGGGGTCTCCGGTTCTGTTTTGTTGTTAATGCTGTAGTTGTTGTTTGTTTGCCTTGCTATAAATACTAGTAAAGAACTGTTATTCCTATCCTCAGATCTCTGCCTGAAAGCCCCTTGATTTCAGAATTATAATAATTTGGAGGGAGGGAGTCTACATTCTTCCATTCCAAAAGAGGCTCCTGCCCTCCCTAGCAGACACCTGTCTTCTAAACCCAAGACAGTGTCAGGTTGGTTACTGGGAATTAGAATATTCACTATAGAAAAATATATAATGTATTGTAACAAGAACTTCACTCTCTTACCTTCTCTTAACTTCTGCACCTCTCTTAACCTCTTACTCTGTATCACTTCTCTTCCCCTCTCCTTCTCTTATTCTCTCCTACCTTCTTTCCTCATGCTCCCCAACTCCTCTCTCCACTCTCTCTCTCCCTCCCTGACCACGTTTATGCTGTGGCTGGCAGGGTAAACAGAGCCCTTCCTCCCTCTACCTAAATAATAAACTGTTTATACCTGAACAGCCTGACCCTGGAGAGGTCTCTCACTGTGAACATGTTCTGTATATCTATACAGTGGTTAGCATGTCAATTATTTATGAATACAGAAGTGACACATGGGATCAACCCAAAGATTTAACTAGCCCACTGTCCCGTTTCCAACAATTGTCAGCAGCAAATGCCTAGAAATACATTTGCAAGGAAAAGGTAGGCATCAAGCAAAGCTTTCCCTGAACATTCTTTCAACCTCCAATGACTCACAGCTGAGAAATTTCCTAAGCCAAAGACTCCTGCCAGGGCTGTGCATCTGAACAGCTGGCACCCAGCAGCACCCACAAACTCCTTTTGCTCTGCAGAACATCTCTACCTGTGCCTCAAAGGCCAAGTCCCAGAGAGTAAAGGCAAGATTTCCATGTAGCACTATTTCTTTACTTAATAGAGACAAAATTCTCTTAGCATCACTGCATGAGCTCAAGGTATCATAGGACTAGAGCACTCCTTTAGCCAAGTGCTGAGTGTTACTTTGCTGAGAAAAGGGTTCACAAGTGAGACAACAGCAGATAATGCATCTACTATAGTCTAATGATTTCCCTTAGCTTTAAAAAATATTGTCACTGTAGCATTTGGCCACGATAACCGAAGGATGCAATCATAATGTCTGTAGATAAGCATTAGATTTCATTAAAACCAACCAGCAGAGATTAAAAATGAAGACAAGCTTATCAAGACACAAGTCCTCAGTTCAATCAGCTCTCCTATTAAACTGTATCATCTCTCCCCAGAGACCTGCCTTGACTGAGCAGTGCTCGGTGCAGGAACAGCAGGGATCAGTTCGGTTCAGCGCCACTGCCCCTGCTCCCCACTCCGCAGTAGACACAGAAAGGATTGGCCTCTCATGCCAAGCAAGACCTGGAAATTAAAGTTCATTTACCAGAAACGGGAAAAATATTCCCTTGGTGGAAAAAGGAGGGGTCAAGTTACAGTGGAATCTACTAAATGAGTCTGTTTCACACCACTCTTCAGAAAATAGAGTGGAAACAGCAGTGATGACATTAGGTGGAATCACCAGTGAGATGAAAATCGAGCACCAGGGCGATGGGTTAAAAAACCAAGGGGATATGGCTGAACTCATTTCCCTCAGACCTACAACAGGAATTTTTATTCTGTGCTTGACATTCCTGATAGCACAGACACAGCCATCCACAGGGGATCAAACTGCAGGGTGCTCAAGTCAAAGAAAAGTTATTCAGTAACTTCAGACTGGTTTTTATGTAAGCTCCAAAAGCCCTTCCAGCTCAGCTGGAGAATAGCTGTGTGCAAGTCAGCTGTTGCACGTGGAGAAGGTAGTCTAGTGTGAAATTTTAAATAAAATAAATGTTTTTCAGACACATGTTACAGCAAGGAAACCACTGGAGATGATGGAGAGCCTTGCTTGGTTTTTGGGCTTTTGGACATCTTTTGAAATAGTTTTGCAATAACACCACTTCAAAACAAGCTGCCATGCCTCTGCATGTAGTGGCAGAGTCTATATTATATTTTAAATAAAACACTCATTTCTTTCTCATTGTGCCTTCAAAATTATAAACTTCTTGATTACAAACACATTTCTCAGAAAACCTCAGATTAAGATGTATGGTGTTTGCAGCCAGGATTGTTATCAGCTTTGTATGATCCTCAGAAACATAGCCACACTACAAATGAATTTGCATATCAGAGATATTTGTGGCCAAATATAGTAAAACTGCTCATTATTCCTGAGCTGTAACATGGCTCAAAAACATTCCTCTATCCATTTACCTCTGTCCATTAACATTCCTCTATTTATTGGTCCATCTCCAATATGAACAACTGGTGAAAAGTTTGGGGTAAAAACTCTGCAAATATGGATTTAAGTCAGAACCAATATTCCAAAATTCCAAGATTGTTCCTCTGTCTATTCCATCTACTCCACAGCTCTCCACAATAAATCACTTGGGGTCCCCATATACTGTAGCACATCAGATTTCAACAGCATAGATCAGAATACACAGCTGTGTTTATGCAAAAGAGAAACTAATAAATAAAAAATTATGACTGAAAATTGAATCTGCTAGATGAATGTTCAGCAATAGATTAACATATGCTGCATTTGCAAAAATAAATAATACTTTAACTCCAGCTTATATTATATATTAAGATCACAAAGTTTTCTTCAATGTTCTGCATGTCTTGATATATTGTAAGCAACTATATTTCATCAGTTGCATATAACCATATCTCTCTAATAACTTTCAAACTCCTGGACTCCTGTCATTTGGACTTATATTTGAAGAGACACTTGAGACCTATAAAAGAAGGGAAAAAAACCAAAACTGAATACTAAAAGCAATGTGCTTTCACCGCTTTTGTCAGTGAAAACTTTCTTTTGAGCTGTATAATTGAAAAGCAATGCAGTAGCACAAAATATTACATGAGACAAGGAACATTTTAGTGACAGCCTCGCAGCCCACAAACCAAAACATAATGCATTGTTTATCACAGATAATTGCAAGCTTTCCATCCCATTTTAATATTTTTGTTAGCTTTTAAACAAACTCTCTGTCCCAATTTTAGAGACAGGAATAAGAAAAAACATTTGCATTCTCTTCTGAAGAATATTCATTATTCAGGGTAACAGAGAGAGTAAACTGGATCTTCTGCAGAATATACTACCCTACTCATAGCAGCTACCCTTTGCATGATAAGATACAAGCCAAAATGTATGTATGAACCATCATCCATGTATGAAAATGTATGAACCATCACAATACATATTCTTTATTTAACTTTTAGGAAGCTGTAACTAACCTGTAAATTTCTATGTTTTGATCCCTTGGCTTTGAATTAATTTTCTGCCTTATTTTAATATTTTCTAAAAAAAAAAATTCCACTACAGTAATTTTTTTTTTTTCATGCAGATGAGGATGCCAGGAAGTAATTCAGTAGCAGATTTATCCCTGAGAACAGGAACACATTTAAAAAGTCATATATCCATTTTTAATCATTTTTACAGTCTAAGAGGGAGCATTTTCTAGTGAGATATTTTTCCTCCTGCCTGTTCTGAAGAGCAGCCACAGTGTATGTAACATCTGAGGTGCTGAAAAATCCTTGAGAAGGTCAAAAATGTAATTCTGACACCAGTTTTAATTTAGCAGAGTTCAGCCAAAGTCATTCAAGGGAGAAAAAACCAAAGCAACTTAGTGGTCAATAGGTAAAGAGAACTTTTGCCCATCCCTATGTTACCAGTTTCATGGACATCAATGCTGACAACTATTCTCATTTTCCTTACACATCTATCCATAGCCTGAGTACTTGCACATATGACTGGTATAACTCATCTTATGCAGAACTCCTAATGTTCACCCACTACTGCTGAATTAAAGCTCACTGCCTACCACTCACTGGTATCAGCTTCTCTCCTTAGGTGATCCAGTTTTAACTCAATATCCATATTTAACAAAAACCCAGCTCCCCTCCAACGAGATACCACTGTGCTGTGTTAGTCATATGCTTCAAAGACAACGACCAACTAACACAGGAAAACCTGTGCAAAGTCAGCTCAGTTTGCTGATACCACTCAGGTGTTGCTCATAGCAGGCATCTCTAACAAGATTTGTAGTGCAGTTTTTAGAAGAACACTTGGTTAAATTAGTATCTGCAAACTACAGTGCCACACATGCATAATGCACTTTGGCAGCTCTGAAGATTTAGTGAGGCTGTACAGAGAAGCATACACAGTGATAAATGAAAAATACAGGTTTTCAAAATACAGACTTTATGTCTCAAGACACCTGTTACTTGCTTGGAGAATGAATGGAAAACTACCAGAAATCAGAATAGGTGTTCTCATTAGGCTGTTCATAATTTACCACTCTATTCCGCACTGTCAGCCAACCAGACCTCTCTGGTGTGGCCAAAACTATTGCTGTCCAAAATTCAGTCAGTGGGAAAAAGCCAAGAAGACAGCAAAACCTGGAACCAACCTTAACTTGGTGAAGGTAGGGATGTTTGAAGGACAGCTCAGAAGGTGATAAAGGAAGTGTCTCAGTCACTGATGTGATAAGGATAGTGCAATGTCTAAATAAGTAAATTGTAATGCAGTCTTGGTCTCTAAAAAGTTGCAGAAGTAGGAAAATTGAACTCACACCCTTGAGCTTCAAAGGCATGAAACACCTGCTGCTGAAATGGAGAAAGGACAATCCTGCAGTGTAGCAATGTATCTGAACAACTTAGACCATAATGTGTGCTCCAGCCAAACTGTCTATAGAATTTCTTATCAGACCCTCTGGAATTTGTCAAGGTTGCTGAGACATAAATTGCTCTAAAATAAGAAAGAAGAGGCTGAGAAACAGAAAAACAAGACTGCAAAAACCACATAACAGAAGGCTGTTGAACACCTGAACTGTGACGAATCACATATCCTGAGAAGTGCGTGCTGAACGCATGGACAGAATAGAGGCACCAATCAAATAACACGTGATCAATGTGTGCAGTAGTTTTAGAATCTATAAATATGTGTATAATAAACAATAAACAGCTTCTGTGTAATCAAATCAGTTCATTGTTCAGAGGTCCTGAGCTCCCACACTGAAGTTCTTAGTAATACTTGATGTAGCAAATTTTTCAAAAAGAGAGAAAAGCAAAGAAAATGCAATGCAATGCAGGAACACAATAGGGTTTGAAGGCACAGATTAATAGATTTCAATATTAATAAAGTTAAGGTAGAGCTTGTTATTAGACACTATTGCCTTCAAGTTGCTTCTGTTCATATATTTATTAATTTAGGTAATTTTACACAATTTCTGTACAAAAAAAAAAAAAAAAGAGAAATTGATTTTAGATTTCTGAACTATGCTCTGTCCTACTTCACTATTTCCACAGAGCTCCAGAGTGAAGCTATCTGCTGAAAAAGCCAAGTAGACATTTTGCCAATGAAGACCAATAAAAATGCACAGAAAATCTGCCTTGGTAACTAATAATCATTATGTGCTTCTAAGTTGCATCCTGCTGCTGAGGAGCCCCAGGAAACAGCCTTGCTATCAGTGGCACCACAACACAGACCCCTGTCCATAGCCCTTTTCCTAAGGCTCCCTCTCTGCATCACACAGGTGATGTCCCCTCACACCAACTCTCTCATCCAGCTGACAATTCCCAAAAGAGGAGCGTTTGAATAATTAACCAGCCCTCTGCACAGCTAAAATAGCAGTAAGTAAATATCAGGGTCATAAACAACTGTTCCAAGTTCTTTTTTGTGATAAATTGTTTGCAAACATTTCTCCTGGCTCTAGCAGTATGAGGTTGGAAGTCATGAGTGAGCAGACCAATTCCTACTGCAGCTGGATAAACCCTCCTTCCCAATCTGTACAAGATATATGTGGAGAAATAGTGTTGATCAAGGTGGAATAATATTTAGAGCAGAATGTCAGGTTCAGCCACAAATAGATTTGCTTGTGGAAGCAGCTGCTACACCCATTAGAATCTTTTAATAAACTGCTATGAAGATTGACACCTTGGAAGTAATTAACTATTTAGTATTTTTAGGTAATTATTGCAGCAATAACATAAGACGTGCTCATCTTCAGAATGAGGAATTATCTGCAGCTCCTGTTGCTCTGCTCCTTTTAATAATTCATAGTAGTTTGACACCAATGATTATTACTCCAGCTTTCCAACTTTCCAAACAAACTAATTGGAGCAAAAGGAACTGTTTACAGTCCAGTAGAAATCCCACCAGTTTAACACAAGCTGTATATGGGACTTTTAAGAGAAAGGAGCACACAGAAGGCATGATGCCAATGCACTGATGAACAGCAAAAAAATTCACATGTGAAGCAAATACCTCTAAGTCAAGATCCTGTGTAGAAGGACAGAAAAAAAATAGTACAGCAACAAAAGTAGCCATGAGAAAATGATGTCTCATTAACAGGCATGCTGTCATGCTTGTTAGGACACTCACACAATGACTCTGATGAGAATGGGATCTTTTCATACAATCAGTGCTCATGGACCACCCACCCAAACCAAGCTCCGCACCTTCTCTCTTCCACTGACACCTGAACTCAGACTCGTTCCCCAAGCCCTTTGAAGGGCACAAGTTCCTTCTGGATGTCCAGTCATCTGCATTTGCCAAGTGAGATGTCAGAAACTCTCCTGGACACGCAGCTGTTCCATGTTCACACATACAGCACATCCTCACAACTGTGCACAGAGCCAGACTCAGGCTCATGCTGCTTCCAAGCATCATTTTATCTGGTAATTGCAAAAAATACAAACCCAAAACTTCCCATGGACACACTTGTCATTTTTGCTATGAACTTCCCAGGTAAACCTCAACAGGTTTCCTGTGAGGTAATATTGATAGAATCTCAACATGCAGATGGGTTTTCTCAGTGCAGGAAAATTTAACTGTTGTCCCTCCCACAGAAGAAGTTTGCCTGTCCTGAAGGTCATTTGAAGAGCAGGAAGAACAGGCCAGATTTCAGTGCTGCCCCCCTACTCCACAGTGTCACCACTCCAGAATTCAGCGTCCAGAATTCAGCAATGTCCTTGATCCACCTGGTGCCAGAGGACTGGCATGACAATCCTTCAGGCCCTGACAGGTTGAGAGCAGTTGCACTCCAAGAAACTGCTCTGCCACCCTAGAAGAAATTTTGAGAACCAAAAAGTAAATAAAAATAAATACACATCAGTTAGATAAGAAGGCCAAACCCTAGGAAATGTTACTGAGTTAAAAAAAAAAGACAGAACCAATAAAGGTTAAAACAAAAATAGTCTTATCAATAAAAAATGCTTCAGTAGTTTTAAAACTCCCTAAGAGTGGCATTCACCTTATTACTTTCAGTAAATCTGGAGGTCTGTTTTGTATTTTAACTTAAATGTCAAGTTATAAATGCACTCTGAACTGAAAATACATTTTTAAAAAACCTTTTCAAAGTGGGATATTCACTAAAACTAACCATTTTCCCATAAACAGGTTTGGCTTTGACAGAAAAATGTCAGCATAAAACATACCCACAGCTCCATTCTGAACCGTGTGGCCCCTAATGAGAGGATATTCCTAATCTGGCCATCTAAAAACATCTCTCAGTGCCCTACCAACCAGGCATTCCCAGACAACTTTTTTTCCACAGCCTGGTCACACCTGGTGTTGCTTCATTGGAATTTTTAGCTGCTGCCTCACTCTGCTCTCCTAACAGAAGTGCTCATCAGGAAAGCTTGGAGTACTTCTCTGCAAAGATGGGGATATTGTTGCTTGAGATGGATATATATATATAGTTAGATAAACCTCCACTTTGTCTTCATTTGCTGCCATCACAGCAAAGACAGAAATATCTGGCCCATACACAGCCTCTGCCCAACCCCATTAACATTTGGTTAAAAGAACCGCCAAAGGAGAGATTAACAGCTCCTCATTTATTTTAAAATGCTTCCTGGGTTTTTTTTATGAAATGCACCATCTGTGCTTCCACCACGATGTGTTAATGAAACCTGGCTCTTGGTTCTTTTAGGGCACAAAAGTGATTTTAAATGCACTGGTAGGCAGGAACCTGAACCCAGAAGTTGCAGCTGTGACTGTTGAGTAGCATGTGGTAATGGCACATCCACCTTTCCACCAGGAGAAGCTCCACAGCTGCCAGGAGCTGTCTGAAGAAGGTTGTGAAAAACCCACCAGCAACATCCAGCCTCTTTCACAATTCAGACATGAGGCCAAGGAGATTTTAGCATCCATAAATTTCAAGTAATGATCAGATTCAAACAGATAGAATTGAGACACACTCTCACAGATGGTTTTTATGTTTGCTTTTGTTGTGGTTTAGTCAGTAGACTTTGGGATAACTGTGTCTTCAGGATCCCAAGGCTC